TTTTCGGTCAAAGATCTCATCTGTTTTCATCAATAATGCTTTGAAACCAGTGGTGGAACTGAACTAGGTATACTGATTAAGTAATCTGGCGTCACTTCTACTTTACGTAATTATTTCCATTTCACACTAAATTAGTATATACACATAAACACATTAATGCTTCAATAATTATAACCTAAAATATATATACAGTATATTTTATTTGGAAATTGGGCCATTCTTCATAATAATTTAAAAATAACTTGTTTCCAAAAGTGTTTAGTGTATTCACTTTTACAAATTCCACGTTGGATCATCTGATTCACATCCTCAATACAATCGTGGTTATTCTGTCTGTCACTGTAGTCGTACATAAGAAATAATAGTGTCAGTTCAAGACTTTTGATTTGAAACCCACATCTCTTTTTTTCCAACTCAGTCTCAAAACCAAAATTGTTTGAAATCAACCGATGACCTTTATGTGTTTTGGACACTCACTTTCAGGACACAATTGAACATTTTTGCTTCACTACACTGAAAGACTGAAACTTTGACAATTGACAAACGTTGAAACATGTCATTCAAATCAACATTTCAGTTTTTACAGTGTACTGATGAAGTTCTAACTCAAGAAAAGAGCACCATCCCGTCCCTCTGAGAGGTGTGGTTCAGACTCTGTCCCAGCCTCAGGTGTGTGTTTGTGTGATCCTGCAGGCAGCGTGCTTCATGGTCACCGCCCTGCTCCACCTCTTCTTCATGGCCTCCTTCTCCTGGATGCTGGTGGAAGGTCTGCTGCTCTGGAGCAAAGTGGTGTCGGTAAACATCAGTGAAGACCGCAGGATGAAGCTCTACTACATCATTGGCTGGGGTAAATCTCATCGCTCTTCAGTGACTGGTCTAGATGGAGTTTGAATTAGGACCATTAGTTTCCTGTAGACAGGGATGCAATGCATACACATATTATGTTGCATGGATTCATTCAATTTTCAAAGCCATTATCACAATTGAGTTGTGAATTGGTTCAATAAAACAGTACTATATAATACAACTATAATATAATGAAATTACCAATTACTTTGTTAAAGTCCACAGTCTGTGTTAGTGTTTCATTTGGTTGTCAGGGTTACTAGGATCGAGTTTGTTTCCATATAGTCATGTGATTCCAAGACCATAGAATATGTTGACCAGGGTGTTTATGATGATCCAATCCGTTTTATTCCTATTATATCAATAGACACATCTCCCCAAATATTTTGGTTTATCCCAAATTGAAAGATTGTTATTATATTGTAAGCTATACGCCCCAGTAATGGAAGTTGTCAGTTCATTTCAGGTATTTCAGTTTCTCTGAGAAGATTGAAATTGTGCTGCAAATAAATAAACTGTGCTGCAATGTTTTCCATGACTTTGATCATGTTGATCTAATAATCACATCTCTGTGATGAGAGTCAAAAACTAAAACACTTTCAAAACATGAACTGCAGTTTCGATACAATATTAGTCCAAATGACATTGCACATTTCTTTGTATATACTGTATATCCAATAATCAGTGACGTGCAGTGAGGTTCATGGCTGGTGAGGCACTGAGTCAGATTTACAAATATTATATTTTGACCTTAATCGAAATATTCGGTTATTTTCAAAAGCTTTTTTAGTCTGATGCTTCGATTCATTTTAAACAGACCGTTCAACAAAAGGATACCCAAAATCTAAATATTGGATTGTTCTTTCTTAGTAAGATCCCATTTTCATTACAAATGTGGTCTTACCTTGACTTGAAGATGAAGTCCATGCTATCCTTCTGGACAACAATCTCTATTACTTTTTTGTAAAAGTCCTCCTTATCTTCCTGTAGTTTCAAAAGTCTAGTTTGTTGTTACGTCTACCGTCTCTGCGTAGAATTACAGTAGCAACAAGAACCTGTGGGCTCACGTGCGCCCCCTTCAGTGCGGCAGAGGTTATGGCTGCCTCCCCTGGTGCATTTTCATTGCCGTTGAGAGCAGCAAGCCTAAATATCATATATACGTGAAATAAGTTATTTAGAGACTATGGATGGCGAGGATAAATGTAATAAAGGGATCTACATACATTACATTTGTGACCTACAGTGAGATGGTAACAGGCATGCGCTTAGGGCCCGCTTTCCAGCCAGTTTCTGTGGGGTGACGCATTCTGAGGTGAGGCAGAGCTCATCTGTGCCTCAACTCAGCCCACAGTAAATGGCTTGAGCGCGCTCACAAAATAAGTGCCCGCGCTACATTAGTGCCCGCGCTCCAGCAAGTTACTGTGGGCTTACGAGAGGCAGAGCACGCCCCTGCCTCACTTGTCATCGCTCCCGTAGCGGAGCTCGGCAAATTTGCTGATTTTGACTATAAAAAGCGATTAGAATCATACATAAATCACACTTACAACACAGATCAGTGGAGACATTTTATTATTATTACTATTTCGTTTTTCTTTAGTTGTTTTTCCGTTACATTGGAGTATGACAGGTGAGGCTCTGCCTCCCCTGCCTCCACTGACTGCACGTCGCTGCCAATAATACAGTATAATATATCACGGACATGACTTGTAACAAACTGTATGTGTACCTCACATCACCAGATTCTTACTGCTAAAGTAGCTAAAGCTAAAGCTACTGTAAAGTTAGACCACATTTCCCAGAATTCTTATTTCTCTTTTTTCAATGTTCTCCTCTTTGGCTTTACTGAGGGGGGTTTCTGGAAGTGACTTTTTTTCTGTTAGCCTCAGTGTAGTATTATCAGTCTGTTATCTCCCATCCAATCATCCGCCCCTAGAGGAGGAACCCCCTGTGTGTGAGCCCATGACATTTCTTGCAGTATTTCCATAAGATTACAAATTGCACCATTCAAATCTAACTTGCTGATGCCATAAAAACTCCCCAGAAGATGATTTTTATTTTGAAAACATTAAACGCATGCACCCTCCTCAGGACCGAACCTTGTACGATCTGATAATGGACGGGGATCCATGCCGGACGTGTCAATGACCTGTCCTCTATTCACACTCTTAGGGTCTCGTAGCTCTTGTGTTGGGGGTGTAATAAACGTTGCAGCCCACAGGAGTTGCTAATGGAGCTTCAATACTGGTTTGTCCAATGCAATGATGAATTCATGGTTAACTTATATCATCACTGCACTTGGGGTGCATGTAGTGAACCTTAACCCAGTTCAAACATTCTGCAGCTGTTACTGGTAATGTTCCGAAATCCATCTGTGATTGGTGATGTTGCTGAGAACATTGTGTGAATAAATTCACTAACAATATTAAGGTGTTCCTCTCAGCGCTCCACGTTCTGCTTTAGACTAAATAGAGAAGAGAAGCTAACAGATTAAACAGTCTGCTCCATAAATATGTATTCAAACATGCTGACTCTTGTGTTGTCACAACACTACCAGGGTTCTTTTTATTTTATTGAATTGTTTTTCAGGACTACCTGTTCTCATAGTTGGTGTCACACTGGCCGTATCAGTGGATGAGTACAAGGCAGAGGACCACTGCTGGCTCAACGTGAAGACTGACACCATCTGGGCCTTCGTGGGACCGGTTATATTTGTCTTGGCGGTATGTAATCAGTGTGTGTGTGTGTGTGTGTGTGTGTGTGTGTGTGTGTGTGTGTGTGTGTGTGTGTGTGTGTGTGTGTGTGTGTGTGTGTGTTGTGTGTGTGTGTGTGTGTGTGTGTGTGTGTGTGTGTGTGTGTGTGTGTGTGTGTGTGTGTGTGTGTGTGTGGTGTGTGTGTGTGTGTGTGTGTGTGTGTGTGTGTGTGTGTGTGTGTGTATTTTAAACCTGCCTCACTGAACTCCAAACCTCCATTTCTTGGTTACTTTGTAAATCTTTATGGGTATTCAAATCAAATCCTCAAAACAGAGTTGATTTATGTTGCACAAACAGGAAGTTGGTTCCAGAGAAAGGGAGCTTGGGAGTCCTGATCTAGTTTTGGGGACTCTGGGAGCTACTAACAGACCTGCGCTCTGCTCAGCCCACTCTCACTCAGGACTAGAGCTCTAGAGGGCTGCAGAAAATACTCTGGCCCAATTCCAAACCACGCCCTACACCCTACCCCTCCGTGGCGGAGTGACACTCGCAGCTCAACGAGCCTCCCTCCTGTCAGATGGAGGGAGTAAATACAGCGGCAAGCTTTGGGACAAACTCCCCTCTCTCCGGCGGAAACAGGAAATGCCGTAACTGTATGTAACAACGGTTTCAAATCAGCATCTCTTAGACAAAACATTAAAATTAATAACTAAAATAAAACTTTCTTTAATTGTGTTACTTTTTTGTAAAGCTTTTTTGTAAAGCTCTTTTAGTTTTAAACCTGAAACCTAAGCTTCTTAGTTTTTGCAACAGTCTGTAAATATACACAACTTTATAATAAAATGCACACATTTACCTTTTTCTAGACTAAACACAGGTACGATCCTAAGTTAAAAAAATATGAGGTTATCATGAGGTTGTTAACATCGCAGTTTATCAGTGGATGTTTGCTGGAAGCCTGGAACTACTTGTAAACAGCGTGTTTCCTTTCGGGGACACACAGCGTTGAGTCCGGTCTCAAGTCAGCACCGATGCAGACTCGCTGTTTGAGGGCTTGATAACCCATTCCCCCTCCACACTTGTTGGTTTGGAACAGCACTTAATGTGGCGGACCCTCCGCGCGAACGCGCAAACGGAGGGGTAGGGTGTAGGGGTAGGGTGTAGGGGGTGGATTGGAATTGGGCCTCCATCTCTCAACATGAAGATGGAGCTTCTTTATCCCCGTTCTATATATTTTCTTTATATTCCCTTTTCCTATCTCAGAAGGTCAGGAGCAGTGAAAAATGTGATTAGTGTGATTTCCTGCCTCCTGAGTAGGAGGGTCATGGTGCCCTCCTCCTCATGTGAGGTGGAGGCTAAGTGGATGTGCAGGCCTACTCTGAGCTGGGCGCCATGTTGATGCTGCTTTCCTCTGCCTGCAGGTCAATGCAGTTGTGCTGTGTCGGGTTGTCATGGTGACCGTTTCCAGCGCTCGTCGTCGTGCTAAGATGCTCAGTCCAAGCTCGGCATCAAAGATGCAGACCTTTGACCTCACCTGGTGAGATACAATGGGTTCTCTACCTCTCTCTGCCACTCTCTCTCCTCCTGCTTTTTGTGCACTCTCCGTTTTTCTCTCGAGCGCCCACTCTCTCACACTCTCAGCCTCTCTCTCACACACACACACACACACACACACACACACACACACACACACACACACACACACACACAGACTAGCTGTTTCCATTTTGCTGGAGCCAGCCACAGTCAATAGAGACAGTGTGAGAGATTTGGAGACCAGGAGTCAGCTGTGGGAGTTGTGAGGGCTTATCAGCTTAACACCTGGTCCCAACACAACTGTGTGTGTGTGTGTGTGTGTGTGTGTGTGTGTGTGTTGTGTGTGTGTGTGTGTGTGTGTGTGTGTGTGTGTGTGTGTGTGTGTGTGTGTGTGTGTGTGTGTGTGTGTGTGTGTGTGTGTGTTTGGGTTCTGTCTCTACTGCATGCAGCCATATAGCATTCTGTTATTTCATAATTCTACTTTCATGTTATATCATCGGGCCATTTCCTGCCCTGCACAACATGAACAGTGTGTAAACATGTGTGAGCAAACAGCGGAGTTATTGTTGTAACTTAAACGTTACAGTCCTCCTTACTGAGGGAAGTTTGAAGGCTAAATGTACATCCTTCATCTTTGTTATAGAACCTTGAAAAAATATTTCTGATCAGTTCCATGTTTTGGTATTTCACCACATCTTACAGAAATATTGTGACTATAATGCTTTCTAATCACAGTAAAGGATAAGGCCATGCCGTCCTTATTGTCAAACACTCCTGTAAACATTCAAACCAACCATGTATGTTTTAATCTGCCTCTCTTTATTTTCCAACAACCCATCCGATCTGGTTCTCAACCTTAAACAATACTTCCCTGTTAGTCAGAAATCTTTCAAAATGTGTCACACTTAATCATCCCCTAATTAGAAAAGTCTCAGCAATTTCCTAAAACAGCTAGTTTCCTCTTTTTTTTGTCAAACGTTGCACCAAGGAGAGAAACAATTTAGTTTTGAGGACTATTTTCAGCGGCGTACTAATCTACATGTGTTTAGTATATTGGCAACAGGACGGTGTGTGTGGGATTGAGTCAAAATATACTACAGTGTGTGTTCATGGTAATCAGTGTTGGGTGTAACGCGTTACAAAAGTAATGGAGTTACAGTAATGTATTACTTTTTGCTGTAACAAAGTAATGTAACGCATTACTAATGAAATTTGGGTAATATACTACCCGTTACAATTCTCAGTAATGCAGTTACAACTCATTTTAACCCAAAATGAAATGGTGTTTTGTTTTTTAAGAATTCACTAACATCGCAAGACATTCCGACACCAGAGAAAAATTGTGCCGGTAGATTAGTAAACCTGGTGTTTACGTAATCAGTCAGGCTGATCTTGATGAGCCTGAAGGGTGTTCTTTTCCCCATAATGACCAAGTCGCTGCACATTATCCCGCTTATTACATGGCCAGATACTAAACAAACTAAGGAATCGACTCCCAATATTAATTGAAATTATTTTATTGACTTAAAATTATCTTATTTCTTCCGCTAAGAAAAGAAAAAAACTCCGTTCCACGCATGGATGTATAATAAGAACTGGATACAGCTCGTTCTTTCCTATGAGAGCTGCTCATTGGCGCAGGAAGACAAAATGGCCCAACTTTTGAGAGAGCGAAACGTCACAGATTACCCGTCAAGCCTGGCTGTCAGAGCAGAAGAACCTGTATGTGCAGTCACAGAGCATGCGCCCCTTAAGCCCCGCCCCCCGAGCTCCCACTCTCAGCTCACTAGAATTAATGGAGAGAGAAAATAAATCGAGATTCGGCTTTTAGTGCATTTTACAACTTTAAGGACCGAATGATTCTAATAAGGGCTATAAAATAGTAGTTTATTTAGTTAAAAACAAATTATCCACCGATTTACAGACGTCTCTTTCCCCATGTTAGTCAATGGGAAAAAGTTGTTTTGGGCCGGGTGACGTCACGGACTGATACGGAAATCGCAGTACGGCCGTTTGGACCAAGCCCCCAGGAAGTGCGCCGGACTCAGATGAAAATATTCGTGCTGGCCAAACGGCGGTACTACACTTCCTTTTGGTTGCCAGGCCCGGAAACACTTTTTCCCATTGACTTACATGGGGAAAGAGTGGTCTGTAAATCGTTGGATAATATTTTTTAAACTAAATCAACTACCCAGTATGAACACTTGTATAGCCCTTATTAAAAACATTCGGTCCTCAAGTTGTAAAAATGTGCTAATAACGTTATTCTGTGAGTTATTTCCCTCTGCATTATGAACGCGCATCTAACCCACGGGACCGCGCCGCCCGGCACGTTCATGTGACGTGTTCAGCACTACATGCGTTTATCTTTACCCATGGATGCACAATAAGAACGGACCCATATCGCCTTACTGCCAGCCCACGGAGCTGTAATAATGGATATATTGCACATGTTTGCTGTAATTCATCATTTGTAAAATATTATACTACATGGGCTATATGATTAAATCTTGTACCGTAAATGTTGTATTAAATAAAGTTAATATTACCGACGTAGATTAACGTCCCTGTAGCTTCTTATTGCACTAAGAAGCTTATTGCACTGTATATATATATACATATGTATATACATATACATATATATATATATATACATATATATATACATATACATATATATATATATATACATATATATATATACATATACATATGTATATATATATACAGTGCAATAAGCTTCTTAGTGCAATAAGAAGCTACAGGGACGTTAATCTACGTCGGTAATATTAACTTTATTTAATACAACATTTACGGTACAAGATTTAATCATATAGCCCATGTAGTATAATATTTTACAAATGATGAATTACAGCAAACATGTGCAATATATCCATTATTACAGCTCCGCATTACAGATCGGGCAGGTGGACCGATCGGGTAGTGACACCACTAACAAGTCCTTAACCACTGCAGAGCCCATACCGTGTTCCTGTTAGTGTTTACTTCTTGTCTGTCTTCTTCTGTTCATTTATCTGACGTCTTTTACCCTCTTTTACTTTCTCTTTCTTGATCCTCCTTAGCAACGGAATTGACCAATCAGAATTGAGTATTCAACTAAGCCTTGTAATAAAAGTTGTTAGTAGCCTTAAGGGCCTACACAGTTGCTGCACTAAACTACATTTTAGCATTTATTTTGCGGTTATTTTGGTGAAAGTAACTCAAAAGTAATATAAAAGTAGTGTAACTCATTACATTTCAGAGACAGTAATATTGTAATGTAACTTATTACTTAAAAAAGACAGTAATAAGTCATTATGTAATGTATTACATTTTGGAAGTAACTTGCCCAACACTGCTGGTAATGCATCAACATGTACTGGATTAACACAGCTCTGTGCACACTCTGCTGCAAATTTGAATACATAATGTGTCACTTCCAGTGAGAGGCTGAGCAGCAACACAATTTCACTTTTCATTGTGCCAGGTCTATGTTGCTATGGTTACATGCATGTAATACAACTATTTAATTCTGCTGCAGTATAGCTATGTATGCAAGAAACATGTCTAGCATCTTTGGAAAGGCATGTGAATATGACTTAAAGGCTCAATTCACATTAAACACTCCATTCACATTGCACTGTGTGCAGTATGTATTAGTGGCATTTTACTTTTTTTTTTGTCTATGTCTAATGGAAATGCCATAACACCACTCCGTCCCCCCCGCCCCCCGCCATCTCTCTCCATTCCGTCACAAACACACTGAAAGTAGATGTCTGTGCCAGCTCTAGAGTGTTACATGTATTCAGGGGATTAGAGCGAACAACATTCAAAAATAAAAGGCAGGAGAGGGAAGTGAGTGCAGGCTTTGTCCTTGCAGACACAGTGCGGTCTGAAAACTCAATCTCTCTGCCCAGGTGCAGCGGCGTGACAACAATAGTGGTTTGAACAAAGGCCACCTTTTCTGCCTTGCCCCAATAAATGGTTATTGGCTGTATAAGTACCAGGATAACTGAAAGGATTGCAATGGAACAGTAGTGAATGAGTGTGGTAGGCGGGAAAATCTATAGTGCAGAGATGTTTGAGGAAATAATCGAACCTTGAAAACTTTACTTTTCTGGCTCCTTCTGTTGGCGCACAGTATACTCACGTTTTGTAAAATGTTTGACAAAGAGAAGGTATATAGAGTATTTAGGAATCAAAAGGAGACACAACAGAGCTTGTTTCAGTGGTCTGTTAGATCATATTTTCATGCGTCTGTATTGGAACGCATTGAGTGTAATTCAGGCACTACTGTACTGTAAGGGCATTTCTGATTCATGTTTGTGTACTGTGTGTGTGTGTGTGTGTGTGTGTGTGTGTGTGTGTGTGTGTGTGTGTGTGTGTGTGTGTGTGTGTGTGTTTGCATGCATGCGTGCGTGTGTGTGTGTGAAGGGCTGTGACCCGTCCCGTCCTCATCCTGCTGCCGGTGCTGGGTCTGACCTGGCTGTGTGGAGTTCTGGTCCACCTGTCCGTAGTGGTGGCCTACGTCTTCATCGCTCTCAATGCCCTCCAGGTAATCACACACACTTCCCCATTCACAGTGTGGTGTTCAGGACCAGCAGGCAGCTCCAGATACCTGCTGTACACTCCTTGCTGTATACTACCAGCTCTATACATGCTGTAAAACCTGCTGTATACCTGTTGTACACCTGCTGTATACTACCTGTTGTACACCTGCTGTATACTACCTGCTGTATACTACATGCTGTAAAACCTGCTGTATACCTGCTGTACACCTGCTGTATACTACCTGCTGTATACCTGCTGTACACCTGATGTACACCTGCTGTATACTACCTGCTGTATACTACCTGCTGTATACTACCTGCTGTACACTACCTGCTGTATACTAGCTGCTGTATACTACCTGCTGTACACTACCTGCTGTATACTACCTGCTGTACACTACCTGCTGTACAGTACCTGCTGTACAGTACCTGCTGTATACTAGCTGCTGTATACTACCTGCTGTACACTACCTGCTGTATACTACCTGCTGTACACTACCTGCTGTACACTACCTGCTGTATACTACCTGCTGTACACTACCTGCTGTACAGTACCTGCTGTACAGTACCTGCTGTACACTACCTGCTGTATGCTAGCTGCTGTACACTACCTGCTGCACACTACCTGCTGTATACTACCTGCTGTACACTACCTGCTGCACACTACCTGCTGTATACTACCTGCTGTACACTACCTGCTTTATACTACCTGCTGTATACTACCTGCTGTATGCTAGCTGCTGTACACTACCTGCTGCACACTACCTGCTGTATACTACCTGCTGTATACTACCTGCTGTATACTACCTGCTGTACACTACCTGCTGTACACTACCTGCTGTACACTACCTGTTGTATACTACCTGCTGTACACTACCTGCTGTATACTAGCTGCTGTATACTACCTGCTGTACACTACCTGCTGTACAGTACCTGCTGTATGCTAGTTGCTGTATACTACTTGCTGTACACTACCTGCTGTACACTACCTGCTGTACACTACCTGCTGTACACTACCTGCTGTATACTACCTGCTGTATACTAGCTGCTGCACACTACCTGCTGCACACTACCTGCTGTACAGTACCTGCTGTACAGTACCTGCTGTACACTACCTGCTGTATGCTAGCTGCTGTACACTACCTGCTGTATACTACCTGCTGTACACTACCTGCTGCACACTACCTGCTGTACACTACCTGCTGTACACTACCTGTTGTATACTACCTGCTGTACACTACCTGCTGTATACTAGCTGCTGTATACTACCTGCTGTACACTACCTGCTGTACAGTACCTGCTGTATGCTAGTTGCTGTATGCTAGTTGCTGTATACTACCTGCTGTACACTACCTGCTGTATAATACCTGCTGTACACTCCTTGCTGTATACTACCTGCTCTATACCGGCTCTATACATGCTGTAAAACCTGCTGTATACCTGTTGTACACCTGCTGTATACTACCTGTTGTACACCTGCTGTATACTACCTGCTGTATACTACATGCTGTAAAACCTGCTGTATACCTGCTGTACACCTGCTGTATACTACCTGCTGTATACCTGCTGTACACCTGATGTACACCTGCTGTATACTACCTGCTGTATACTACCTGCTGTATACTACCTGCTGTACACTACCTGCTGTATACTACCTGCTGTACACTACCTGCTGTACAGTACCTGCTGTACAGTACCTGCTGTATACTAGCTGCTGTATACTACCTGCTGTACAGTACCTGCTGTATACTACCTGCTGTACACTACCTGCTGTACACTACCTGCTGTATACTACCTGCTGTACACTACCTGCTGTACAGTACCTGCTGTACAGTACCTGCTGTACAGTACCTGCTGTACGCTACCTGCTGTATGCTAGCTGCTGTACACTACCTGCTGCACACTACCTGCTGTATACTACCTGCTGTACACTACCTGCTGCACACTACCTGCTGTATACTACCTGCTGTACACTACCTGCTGTATACTACCTGCTGTACACTACCTGCTGTATACTACCTGCTGTATACTACCTGCTGTATGCTAGCTGCTGTACACTACCTGCTGCACACTACCTGCTGTATACTACCTGCTGTATACTACCTGCTGTATACTACCTGCTGTACACTACCTGCTGTACACTACCTGTTGTATACTACCTGCTGTACACTACCTGCTGTATACTAGCTGCTGTATACTACCTGCTGTACACTACCTGCTGTACAGTACCTGCTGTATGCTAGTTGCTGTATACTACTTGCTGTACACTACCTGCTGTACACTACCTGCTGTACACTACCTGCTGTATACTACCTGCTGTATACTAGCTGCTGCACACTACCTGCTGTACAGTACCTGCTGTACAGTACCTGCTGTACACTACCTGCTGTATGCTAGCTGCTGTACACTACCTGCTGTACACTACCTGCTGTACACTACCTGCTGTACAGTACCTGCTGTACAGTACCTGCTGTACACTACCTGCTGTATGCTAGCTGCTGTACACTACCTGCTGTATACTACCTGCTGTACACTACCTGCTGCATACTACCTGCTGTACACTACCTGCTGTACACTACCTGTTGTATACTACCTGCTGTACACTACCTGCTGTATACTAGCTGCTGTATACTACCTGCTGTACACTACCTGCTGTACAGTACCTGCTGTATGCTAGTTGCTGTATGCTAGTTGCTGTATACTACCTGCTGTACACTACCTGCTGTATAATACCTGCTGTACAGTACCTGCTGTATGCTAGTTGCTGTATACTACCTGCTGTACACTACCTGCTGTACACTACCTGCTGTACACTACCTGCTGTACACTACCTGCTGTATACTAGCTGCTGTATACTACCTGCTGTACACTACCTGCTGTACACTACCTGCTGTATAATACCTGCTGTACAGTACCTGCTGTATGCTAGTTGCTGTATACTACCTGCTGTACACTACCTGCTGTACACTACCTGCTGTACACTACCTGCTGTACACTACCTGCTGTATACTAGCTGCTGTATACTACCTGCTGTACACTACCTGCTGTACAGTACCTGCTGTATACTACTTGCTGTACACTACCTGCTGTATACTAGCTGCTGTATACTACCTGCTGTACACTACCTGCTGTACAGTACCTGCTGTATACTACTTGCTGTACACTACCTGCTGTACACTACCTGCTGTACACTACCTGCTGTACACTACCTGCTGTATACTACCTGCTGTACACTACCTGCTGTACACTACCTGCTGTATACTACCTGCTGTACACTACCTGCTGTACAGTACCTGCTGTATACTACTTGCTGTACACTACCTGCTGTACACTACCTGCTGTACAGTACCTGCTGTATACTACTTGCTGTACACTACCTGCTGTACACTACCTGCTGTATACTAGCTGCTGTATACTAGCTGCTGTATACTACCTGCTGTACACTACCTGCTGTATACTACCTGCTGTACACTACCTGCTGTATACTACCTGCTGTACACTACCTGCTGTATACTACCTGCTGTACACTACCTGCTGTACACTAGCTGCTGTACACTACCTGCTGTACACTAGCTGCTGTACAGAACCTACTCAGCAAACAGCAGGCAGACACTTTCAGAGACTAGCTGGTGAACATTTAGTTGTTAAAAAAATATGTCCTTCAGCAGTCGGTAGAGTCCTAAACCAGATCTAAAGAGAAACAAAATTGAATAACATTCATCAGTTAGACACACACACAACTATAAATAAATGATGGTGCTGATGGATGTAAAATAGCTTGCTAAATTCGCCATACCAACTTTAAAGTGAAGTAAAGTGTTACCTTTTTGAATCCACTGTGTACAATCATAAAAAAACTTCAGGTCGGGGACTAACGTCAGACCCCACTTCATGAGTTGTGTTTCCAAAAAATATAGAACAGAGGTGGAAAGTAGTGAAAAAATATATTTTATTTCAAGCATTCTGTTATTCCAAATGTAACTACAAAGATTTTAGCATACAAAAGTACAAGTAAATATCTACAAGATGAATTCATTATTGATTCATTAATGTGTTAAAGTTATTTTCTTTTTCTTTTTTGTGGCAGCTTTAGAATTTTGTCTTGGGATGAAATAAGTGTTATCTTGAGTTAATGTTTTGTATAATTCGAATATGGTTATTTGAAGTAACTAAAGTTACTAAATATAGTGCAATACAAAATACAATATTTCCCTCTGAAATGTTGTGGAGTAGAGAATGGAGAACATCATGAAAGCTAAATGATGTCTTAACTTTCTCTCCATTCCCACCTACAGCTGCTTGAGAGAAATTATACCTGTGTGTGTGTGTGTGTGTGTGTGTGTGTGTGTGTGTGTGTGTGTGTGTGTGTGTGTGTGTGTGTGTGTGTGTGTGTGTGTGTGTATGTGTGTGTGTGTGTGTGTGTGTGTGTGTGTGTGTGTGTGTGTGTGTGTGGGAGGAGGCAGTGATTCCTTTGAACGGCAGGTCACATCTCCCTCCATCCCCCCCCCCCACCATGATAACGCAGCCCTCACTTCCTCTCTCTCTAGCTTCAGTCTGGTTCCACACACTGTCCCTGTTGTTATTATACGCTCCATCCACTCATCTCCCCCCTGTATTGTCTTACCCCACCCACCCCTCCCTGGTCTTTAATTAATCACAATGAGCTGGCCCCTGGGTGACCCCCACAGAGCTGCTAGTTAATTCAGATTTACTGCCAGTGTTCAGCTGAGGGCAGATAACACAACAGTAGGAGTTCTTCCTCATGTAGGTAGGAGGATGAAGCTGGGCCAGCCCGCTGTCTTCTCTTTACAGAAAAAGTTATTTTACTGGGCTGCTTCAACAATCTATAAAAAGCAAAGTATGACGGAGAGGTCTAAAGGCCAGGAAAGCAGAGCAACACGGCTAAATAATAAGATCCAGTAGAGGTTTTAATCTCTAAACTAGCCCTAGGGTCACTTCTGTTTCCATGATAGTAGTCTTACTGTTTTTTTACATTCATTTCTATATTTCTAGCAACATACACCAAGGCCTCTTCTAGCAGCTTCAGCAGTGTAGAGAATTTGAAAAGTTGTTTATTGCAGAGAAAGACTAAACACTGGATCAGACACCATAGCCTGTAGTCTGTAAGGCATTTTGAATAACAAAGCAATTAACTATCATGGAGTCATAGTGAGATAAATGTGTCCTAAAAGTCCCTCAACAACAGTCCCCATATCTGACAGTGTTTACATGGTTATAACGTAATCTCCCTTTCTGTGTGCTCGGGCTCCACATCACTAACATTACATCTTTAAACACACTCATTTGGACATTTGAGATGACCTATTGTTTGTTAGTGTGTTCATGACAAGAGACCATGTGAATAATTAAAGGCGTGAGCGGGATGTTACAGAATCGTGGTGTTCGGAGCGTCTGACTTTGACACAGCAGATTGCCGTCTGCATGCCGTGACAAACATCCAACGCCTAAACCAAACCGAGCCTAACACAGAGGTGGCAAATCAGAAATCACTCAAGAAATCGTTTTTTGAAAAGCTCATATATGTCGTTGAAGGCACTGACAAACAATTTTATCATGAACATAGTGGTGCCACATCTGTTTTGTGATTTAGTTTTGAAAAGGGCAAGTCTAAACAGATAAACAGTCAACACAGATAATCAGATCCAAAAGAGAGTTAGGGCCAACAATTTTCGCAAGTGTCGGAAAGGAACAAGCTGACATTTACGCCCACTGAGAAAGTAAGCAGGGTTTGAAAAGCAACACTATGAATGTGCACTGTTATCCCAGTATTTAAAAGATAATCGCATCTTGCCCCTCTGTATGAAGGTATCACATGACTGTAAACACACTTTCTCTAGAAACTAGTTCTCTAAAAGCAACATGGTCATAAGAGGGGTGGGCTACAACCACTGCATTGGAGCGTTTATGGTTGGATGAAGTCACATGTTTGTAGTATTCCCACTACATTTCTGGTACACAAGGAAGAGAACCAATTTGGATGTAGTTCAGCTGAGTGTTGAGTGCTGCATCCTGCTGAATCTGACTGAAGCTCATGCCAAAAGGGAGTAAAAAACACAGATGGAGAGCATGAAAGCTATTTTGCAATACAGTTCTCCTTTTGTTCGTACAGCAATGTTTGACTGAGAGTGAGTGGAGGACTAAATGGACTTGTTGAAGATATTGTCAATAAAAGCTGTATGAATGGAAATGGAATTTATTCTTCTCCACTTCCAGCGCTCACATGTGCCTCTCCCCTCTCCACAGGGCCTGTACATCTTCTTAGTGTATGCTGTTTACAACACTGAGGTAAGGAGGCATTCAGTCCATTGTCCGAGCTGCTGCTGAAGCACTGCGGCAGAATCTCAGAATGTATGTTTGTACGGTGTGTGAGGCTGCCACCGTTTGGACCAACCACTGGGTGTAAACACTGCTTCTCATTTAGGTGAGGAATGCCATAAAGAGGATCAAAGAGAAGAGGAAGGCCTTATCTTTCACGGTGAGTGAGTAAAAGGAACACAGCAGTGAACACACTGAAAAACTGAAACGTTGAAGCAATCATATTACGTTGAACCTAATATTTTTTATTTAAACTTAAAAGATTATTGCTTTCAACTAACCTAATACAGTTATGTGAAATGTGTTGACATAATACATTTCATTAAAGTCAACCTTTCAGTTTGTTCACTGCAGGTCCATCAGTACAGGACAGAAAATAACATTTTAGCTGGCTAAAATTGCATGGGCATGGTTTGGTTCAGTAGTGGTGATGTAGACGTACACATACTTTATTTAATGATTTTCATCACTTTGAAGAACTTCTTTCTTATGATGTATTTCAGAACTGTTCCCAGCCCACCAGCTTCTTACCTTCTCAGAGGGCCCCGATCACCTCCTGGGGCCGCAGTCCCCCGACTCCCTCCAGCCCAGACACTAGTGAGACCTCCGGACCCCCCAGTTCCACCTCCACGTCATTGGTCATCAAGAACGGTAGGCTGAATGACCCGGAATGTGCTGAAGCTGGAAATATTTGGTGTTCACCTAGTTCAAATTGTGTTTGACATTATTTATTTTTTAAAAGGCCAGAGGAGAAGAAAACAGCACCACAAAATGAAATCGTTTTTTGTCTAATGTCAAATATATTTTAGTGTTGAAGGCTCAATAAGAGGAGGGAAGGGAGGCGCAGACCGTCTGCAGCAGGAATAAGTCTGAAGTATTTCAGAAGGAGGGGTTCAGTCTGCGTTATACAGGCAGAGATAGACTCTAGCTGCACTGAAAAATGGAATGACTTTCATTAAATGTATCATGTCAACAGATTTCACATTACTGTAAGGTTAGTTGAAAGCAATAATATTACGTTTAAATAACATATAATAGGTTCAACTTAATATTATTGCTATCAACTAACCTTATACAGTAATGTGAAATCTGTTGACGTAATACATTTGATTAAAGTCAACGTTTCAGTTTTTTCAGTGTGTGTACAACTTCCTCCCACTAATATTATTATGATCTGTTTCCAGCCAGCAGCCAGTAATAATAATATCAAGCAAGCGGTTATATCATTTCAAAAGGTTTTACTAAAAATGACTTTGAGTACTCACAGCATTTAAAACTAGGCTTAGTAATACTGTGTAGTTTGCAACCTCATTTCCCATTTAGTGCATTACATTTGCGCTCATCATTGTTTGCTCTTTGCTCTCTTTCTGAGTGAAATAAATCCTGGTTTTAGAGTCCTCATAAAGGGCATGGACTGGTTCTTATGAACTGAAAAGACAGTGGACCTATTGTCAAAACCTCAAGTGCTGTAGCAGTGTTGATCCTACCTCACATTTTAAGATGATTCATTGGAAAGAAGATGAACTCTTTCTGGAAAGCACAACCTCATGACCTGCTCCATTCCTCCTAGCTGTGGACTCTCACTTACTACTCTATGGATTTTCTTTGTCTTACATGTTCTGAATCGTGTTACTCCTGAAAGGGAAATGCTAACTTCAAGTTGTTATTGTGTTTCAGAGAGCTTCAGGAAGGAAAGCTTTGTGAGTTTCTCTTTAAACCCAGCATCAGGAAACCAAGTGAGTAACATGCATGCATCATCACTGCACTGCTGTCACATGTCACTGTTCAAATACAACTTATATTGTGTATGTTTTTTTCATTCAAACAGGTGGTCCAGCTGACAGGGTACAAGCCATCAGGTACTACCTCACTTGATCTTAAGATCATTTAAGTGTTGCTATTAGTTGATAAGATTAGATGAAATTGATACCACACAGGGCAAGTCAATGTAGCAGCTTCAGCAGTTAACAGGAACAGGTGCATAGTGAAGATACTATCAAGTGTACTGAAACAAATCCATCACAAATGAAGTGAGGAGATAAGGACAATGCAATCATAAATGAAATACAACAAACTGAAGTGGGCATGTTGGATGTTGAGTGAAGCAGAAAGCATCAAGTCAGAATCAAAGTGTGTGAACAAAGTGTATGAACCGCAGATAGAAAACAGAGGGTTAGAAGTAGAATAAGTGTGATGTCCAACTGCTGTCATTAAAGAGAGAGACCTGCAGTGGTGCTCATGCAGTCCTATCAGATGTATATGTGTCTTTTATAAAGCCCTGTACCACAAGCAGGCACGTGCAGAGGGTGTCAGAGGGGCAGGGGCCCAAATAAAACTAAATGAATCCAAACTATTGTTGTTACTTTCACATAAATCTAACCCTGGAATAACATATTTTGTGACAGTTTTAAGGAATATTAAATGTATGTATTTAAAACAAACTTAAGTTGGATGTTGGTTCAAACACTGCTACACAACAGTTCATTAATGCTACAAAAAGGAAAGGGTACCACTTTGTCAATAAGGCTTTCAGATTACGCCTCAGAAATAACAGGCAATAAGAAGACCAGTGATACTAAGAATATTAGAGATAAGATTACAGAGGTGCAGCGTGCTTGTGTTCTATGATGACTGGTGGTGCTTCATGTTAGGAATGCATTACGCTCTAACTGCTCTGTCTGGGGCAGCCTTCAGAACAACAATTACAGTATTTATATGCATTTATTCAAATGACAGATAAGGGAAATTCCACCTTATTTATGTTGACTGAATTAACTATATATTCCAGTTTTTGAAATTATTTGTACTATAAGCAGAAGTATTCTGTCATTGTGGCTCAGTTTGGAATGATGCTGTTTTTGATGAGTATTATTTAAAAAAACAACTTAATTCTGACAAACAGAATACAATATTTCTGTCATGAAACTCATTTTAAATGCATTGGGTAGTGTAGAAAGCATGAAAGTATAATGACTTGAATGAAAGCAATGTAAAACTGACTGGAGGACAGAGAGTAAAAGGTTTTATTTCCCCTATGGTCTCTGTTTACCTGCGCAGTGTTCAGCATTAGGCTGTGTGAAAACTGCCCCTGAGGCTTTTGTTCCTGTGAATGAGCAGGCGAACACAACAGATGGTCCCCACGTTTCCAGCGGGTCAAGTCACTGCCAATGGCTCTAAATTGCCTGGCAGTAGGGAAAAGGAAGTTTTTAGATTCATTAAATGTTGAGCCGTCTGGGAGGAGCGCCTGATGGTTGGTGTTGGAGTGCTGCTTGGTGTTCATTGTTGACCGACGAGACAAAGCAGAAGTTCATTCCCTTAATCAGGAGCGCACGAGGCCGGCTATTCACGCCGTCGGCCATTAACCACTCCAACACCTGCTCTCTCTCCCTCCACCTTTCATCTCCCCCTTTCTCCTCCTCTCTTTGTACGCAAACACACTCACACTCCTGAAGCAGAAACATTAAGCATCAGCTTGAGATGAGTTGTAGCTAACACATTTCACTTTATTTCACCGCAGGTTGTTGAACTGCAAATGGACTGGATCCTGATACAAGCTGAAAGAATGGACACACACACACACAGTTCCCACCTGAAGATGTGCACTGCCGCCACAAACACACACTGCTAAGAAGGAGAGTGAAATAAAATAAGGAAGGAAAGATGAAGAAGTGAATTCTTCTTCTTACATTGTCACTGCTCTGTTCCCAGATCAGATCCATGTTCCCTTATTTTGGGTTAGGTATCTGACTGTCTGCCAGGGGGTCCTCAGCTCTGCAGGAACTCCCTGACGTCTTCAGTAGAGCAGTGACGTAACTTTTCTCATTTAAGCAATACACATACACTAAGAACAACAACTCTGTCTAAGAATGATCATGTTTATCACCAGTTTTCTGAATCTCAGCATGTGAGCTGATCTCTTCAAAGTACAACAGCTCAACCAAATAACACATATGTGTTATTCGCTGAGGTTATTTTAAAATAGCTAATTCATGAACAAATATAAAAATACTTTGATTTCTGATAATGAATTGGTAAATCACCAAGAAAACAAACCTTTGCGAATGATTTATCTGAACATCTCTGAGATTAAATTCTCCAAATAAAAGGAATAATCTTTAAAAGTACTGCTCAAGCTGATGAGATGGATCTAACCTTGTATAATCAATCCTTTTGGTTTCTTTACAAAACATGTCATGGAGAATGTGGAGACATTTCTCGGAAATATATTACTTTATAAACTCAGAAAATGTTTTGTTCTTGGAAATCAGATCATTTCCAAGAACAAACTCCAACAAGATCATTTTTACTCAACATATAGCCCCTCTCAATTTAGATAATACATGTTATTGATGATCTCTTTGAGGTTAAAACATTATTCCTGAAGTGACAATTGCCATCCCTTTAATTTCCCAAAAACAACACGGCTCATTAAGATCACACTAAGAATGATCTTAATGAGCCAGCCCTTATGTGTGACAAATATTAGCGCTGGGCTTCCTTCTCACTGGCTTTGTGTTTCATGTAAATACATCTACAGCTAGCAGTAAATCCAGCTGAGCACAAAGAACTCAGACATGTGGCTCCAAATATGAAAAAATAATTTGTTTCATGACGTGTTGTCTAACAGTTTCAAAACATTTTCGATGTGGACGACTACGTTTGGTTAACCTCCCTGTACACTGTGTTTACTGTCTCCCTGTTGTGATTGGATGGTTCTGTAAAGTACTGAATGAGACTGTGCATGCAGCTGAGCGTGGAGCTGTGGCAGAAACACATCCCACAGATATTCTGAAGAGACAGGGAGCACAGGTCTCTTACTTTAAACACTCTCTAAAACATTAGATACTGCAGATGTGTTTCTCCATTGTTCCCTCTGACTGACAGCAGGATGCACTGTGAGTGAAAGGCTGGCCTGTCACACATTGCTGAGTGTGTGAGAGCGCACCTGAGGTGTGTGTGACTCTGCTGGGCTTAGTCAGCCTTACGGGCTGTTCTGAAGGTCAAAATTGTGATCTCACTCGTGCTCAGTAGTGATGTTTTTAGGTGAAAAAACATAGCAGGACTGTAACAGTTTCACAGTTCAACACTGGTGATAATCTGACTGGAAACACACTGTGTGTTGCCCTCTGTCTGCTCAGTGGCATGTGTGTGTGCTGGCAGATTAGCTGTCTGATCTACAGGTGCTGTCCTGTGGCCTCAAGTCTGGTAATCCTGTCCGTGACCAGGTTCTATTTCCCTCTGAATAACACACGACAACAAATAAAAGCCTTTTTCTGACGAGCTAGAAGTTAGACATTTTATCATGGAGAACCACTCTCTGTAATGTTAGGTTAAGGTTTTCCACAATAACAGGTGGGCTCCATTTTTTGCTCAGAAGGCAGACTTTCCCATCTATAAGAAGATAATCAACATTGTTTAAGGTGTCTGCAATTACTTCTTCTTTAAAATAAGCATCAATATTTAGCAGATAGCCAATCAAATATCAGAGCTGCAAAACGGAATTGGCCCGACTTGGAATTAAATTGGGGCCATCCACTTTCACCACCAAACTTAATCCACAGGTTCTACATGTAGACATGCTGAAGATGGACAATGGAGGAACAAATCTATTTTGTTCCACAATGAAATGCTATCACTCTTTTTAAATGATAGATGTGTTTCTAAGACTGATGTTGGATGTTTCAAATGAAACTGATGTGAATAATGGCTCTCTGATGTTAATAGTTCAGACAAGGCTGAATAACAGCCACACTATGACAGCTGTAATTCATGTTGTATATATGAGCTCTGTATCATTTGTGCACAACTGATGAATGTTGTGTAATTATAGTCGACACACGTGGAGCTTACTTCACTGGAATTTATTGGTTTAGTGCTATTACAATAAAATATATTTAAAGAAACAAACGTTTTGGTCACTTTCTCTTTTGGGAGAAAAAAACACTTCAGTTAAAGACGGGACTTTCAACTCACAGGTAAATAAAATGTGAACAAGAGCCAAAACAAAGGCAATATCAAGAGAATCACTTCCACATGGCAGCGATCTGACCTCAACGTAAAGCGTAGAACTCTTTCGTTTGAAATGTATCTTCATCTTGCAGTAGATATTCACTTCACAACATAAATATACTGTACATAATGATAACACAGAGCTATCTCAACTGGAAAACCAAGGTGTGTGTATGCTTTCAGGCAGACATTCAGTTAAGGCAGGCGGAGTGATTGTCTACGATACCTGGAGATGGACCAACGAGGAATGGTTTTAAATGTCGAGCTGCACAATATCACAAACATCTTGAGACCGAGTCTTTGGTCTTCAAACAGGTATCATCGCTGAGAGGCATGTGCTTTAAAAAGAGTGTGAGACTTTTCAGTTCGGTTAAGTCCCTGTCACACTGTCCCGGAATTGACACCAGATGGACACACGGATATGGAATTGTGAATTTCGCACGAAGATGGCCCCGAAGTTGGTCAACAGCCAAGCAACAGCCGGAGCAAGTACGATGCCTACAGAAGGCCACGCGATGGCACCCGAACCACACACGAAAATATGGTCGTAGACTTTACTGATGATTTAGAATGTATCCAGACTCAACGTAAGAGCTTGTACCTCTTCGGGGGGTGCTAACATTTAATCATACACTTTATTCTTTACTTTCTCCGTCTTTATATGTAGATTAGAAGATATTACTTATCTCCGTCATGTTGTTTCCATAGCAACAACAACTTCCTGTCAACAGTGTAAAAATAAAAGCATCTAAATAAAACAGGAAGTTAACCTAAATTACATTTAAGACATACAACTGCAACGAAAGTAACAACAACAATGTAATATCCTTTTCAGTTTCACAGAACACAAATTGGGTTGTTTACATAATATGTTTACATGATTTTGTTGTGCAATAAATGCAATCTTGATGTCATCGTACTATAATACGATGGCTACACGACGGCATTGCGAGGGCTTCACGTAGTCGTGTTGCCTTCCTAAGACAATCGGGCAGCTTCTTGTTTCCTTCGTATTGTCTTCGTGAGGCGAAAAATGCCCGTTGGCACCGATGATCACACGAAGTAAAGACGAAGATGACACGATTTGACAAGATGCCCTCACGCTGGCCTTACGAAGGGCAAAATGGACACATGAATTCAACACGAAAATGAACCTTCAAAAGGTCCTTCGGCAATTTTTTGGCATGCCAAAGATTTTGCCACCGTTCACGAAGTTGCTGCCGGAGCCTGAGAAACTCCACCGGCGGTCATACGATGGCTTAAGATGCCCTCACGAATGGCCCGATGTTGTTACGATCAGAGCCGAATTTCCTTTATCGTGTGTCCATCTGGTGTTTTCGGGACAGTGTGACAGGGGCTTTAGGGTTACACACGTGTTTTCAACATAGTACAAGAAATCTCAAATAGTGTTTCACTGGTAACTCAGGCTGCTGATAGTGTGTGTGGGGCTTATAGGGCCTGCAGTGTTATCTCATATTTTAAATGTATACAACGTGCAGGAATATGTCAGATATCAGGGGAGAGTTTTAGTGACCCACACTGAAAACTGAAACGCTGACTTTAATTAAATGTATTGTGTCGACGAATTTCACATAACTGTATTAGGTTATTTGAAAGCAATGATATTAAATTGAACCTAATATTCTTTATTGAAGCTTAACATTATTGCCTTTCCCTGACCTAATACAGTGATATGAAGTCTGTTGACATAATACATTTAGTCAATGTTTCAGTTTTTCAGTGCATGACTCTTATGATGATAAGAACAGCGTTTTTGTATTAAAGACCGACATGTTTATTTCTTTAATAATAAACCAAATATGTTGGTCAAATAATATACTGTATCCTGGTTCTACTACACTAAATAAATGTATTTCTAAACAAATTACACATATCTGTATTAGGTAGCTTTAAAGCAATAATATTAAGTTTAAATACAACATATTAGGTTCAACTTGCTTTCAACTAACCTAATACAACTATTTGGAACCTCTTGACATAATACATTTTATTTCAGTTAACGTTTCAGTTTTTCAGTATACTCTGAACCAGTCAGTTTGAAAGTGATTGATCACTGACGTCTAATTGCTTCAGATTGAGGAGAAAAAATGGAGTGATCAGATCTTTGGGCATGAGAACTGAGACACATCCTGTTAGCTACCTGCATCAAACGTCTGAAGATATCCACAGAATTGCGGTTGACGTGGAGTCAGGTTATATAAGTCGAGTCACAGAAACTGAAATCAACACACGTCACAGAAATGTGCTGCTCTCAAGCTTCTGTGTGACCTCACATTTTGTTCAAGCACAATGAAAATGCAGCAAATACATGAAAAATACCTGAATTGTGTCTTTTATCAACATTGTTAGATTTTTTTATAAATGTATCTGCTAACATTATTTCATTTTTCTTTTACAAAATGTGCTTCTGGCAACTAAGACAAGAAACATGTATGAATGGCTCTGCTGAAAGCATGTTGTTAAGTTTGGGGGGAAGTTTGGTTTAATTTTAAGAAAGTTAAACTGGCTCAAGCTCAATTTGGGTTTACTTTTTAAATATTTCACATTAACATACCGCCCTGTTTCCATGCCTGCTGTCTGCACTTTGTTTAACGTTGATTTGGAGACAAAGGTGAACAGGATGGCCATTCAGTCTCACACCTACACCTGCGTGCTGAAAAGTGACACAAATGTCAGTGTGAACATGACAACTGCCTTTTTTGAAGACTCATTGTTTCTTGAGGCAGTGACCTATAATACCATTTTTATAAGGAAACGTGAAACCAAATGTTGCCAGATGATTATTTTCCCTGGCTTTGTCTGCTCCTCAGTCACACGCTGACAGATGCTTCCTTTTGTTAGTCTTTGCTCAAAGAAAGGGAAAAGCAGTTTTTGTTCATCTCTCCATTATCATTCACATGTATGTGCTTATGTTTTGTCTCCTACTGTATGTGCTTATGTTTTGCCACCTACTGTATGTGCTTATGTTTTGCCACCTACTGTATGTGCTTATGTTTTGTCACCTACTGTATGTGCTTATGTTTTGTCACCTACTGTATGTGCTTATGTTTTGTCACCTACTCCCTGCTCTCCTTCATCTGAAAACTTCGCTGTGAACAGTTTGAACTCCTTCTCGTTTGCTTTTGACCCTTTCTCTGCCTGTGTCCCTCTTCCTTATCTGTATTGTTGTCATTTTATCTTTCCTGGTAAGGGTTTGATGAATAACTGAATAAAAATGAGTTTTTCTTAACATTTCTGGCTTCTATATATCAATATATTACTAAATAGATTAAAATAAAGCTATATTAAACCCCATAGAGCTCTCTTATTTTTGAACATTGGTGTTAAAAAAGGGTAGAGATATGATCAGTAATCTGAGAACACCACAGTGTTTTCATCTACAAAATATATAATGATTATCTAGGAAGAGTGCACTTTATAATCTTCCATAAAGTTGGATCTGACATTTGGATCAAAATCAATTAATGCTAAATTCAAATTTCTGAAAAGAAGATAGAAAATATGTTGGAAAAGTGCACATCAGAGCAGCCCTCGCACCAGATGACCCTATAGACATCCTATATACACATATGGGACCCAACAGTTCATATTGATATCACAATGATATGAAGATGTGGATGTTTTAGAATGATAGACAGATATCTGGACAATATGTCTACATGAGTGTTTAACATTATTTGATTGAGTCTGAATATTTGCTGGGCAGCTCTGTGGAACGTAGAAAATCTGTGTTCTGATGCTGGATGTGATATTTGGTCATTGAATATAACTTTAAAGGCAGTTCTAATTTTAGATTTTTGAAAACAGGGTAGAAAATCCAGTTTATAAAGGTCACATGAATGTAGCTCTGCAGGATATGAAACGTTAACATTCAAAATATTCAAACGACCTTGAGTATGGATGGAGCTTTATAATTCCAAACACCAAAGAACATTTTCTCCTCTCCAGCTCAAACAAAAGGCCTCACAAAGATGGCCCAACATAGCCTGTCTATCTTCATCTGATTGTTTCCTCTCACACACACTTTCCCTCCCACACACACACTCTCACCTACACAAACAACACATGACGGAGGAACGTGTGTGTCCCTCACACACAGGCTCTCTTGGCGTGCAGCATCTCGATGAGCAGGTTGTTGCAGGGCACCTCTCCGCTCAGGTGCATGTAGCACAGGTAGTCCTCCGCCTGCGTGCTGAGGCCACGCAGCTCTGGCAGACGCACCACCAGCTGGCTGAACTTCTCCTGGAACTGAGGGTAGGTGGACAGGGTGTACTCCAGCAGAGCCCCGTTCACCTGCTCCTGCACCCCCTCCACGAAGGCCTGGTCCTCCAGCAGCTTGACATCTGCACACACAGGACAACATGCATCATTGAATGCACTGTATAGCTTTTCACGCCACTGCTCTTAATGATTTATTACCCCCTTATTGACATGTGTTTGCCCTACTGGCCTTTTTTTCATTATTTGTCTGTTTTGGTCACTGTGCACTTTGACAGGGTTGCACTCCAAAAGTCTTGTTGTATATTTTGTAAAATGACAATAAAGGCTTTTTATCTGCTATGAACAGGTTTGGGAGGGGGAATATATATTTGCTACTAAGTTGGTTTCATTCATTTGTTCAGTATCAGAATTGGAATTCCGTTATTCATCCCACAGAAGGAAATGTACATTGTTACAGCAGTATAGATAGAGAGGAAGAAAAACTCCCAAAAAACACGATTAGATCAAACGGCATGCCGAAGCATTTACAATCAAATAATTGTTCAAAAAATGGACAGAAGTACACATTCAGGGAAAAGAAGTAACTAATCAGTATTTATAAAATAAGTGTAACATTGTAGAATAATGTGCGGTAGCTGGTTGATTGCAGTGGTAAGTAGCATGAACAATACTTACACTACCTCAGATATATTTTACTTGTATTTCAAGCTACTGTACACATTGTTTTATTGTATAGTACACTATGTTGTTATGTTCAGTAGAATGGTATATTAGAGAGTATTCAATTGTATTCTATATATTGTACAATGTGTAGATACTCCTCTGAATATAGGTCCTTTTTACTGAGAATTTGAAGTTACTGTTTTTGATTTTGAATGTTTATCTTTATTTAGATTTTTTGTATTCTAATTTTTAAGTCATTTTTTGATTCTTTTCGATGTCCATGAGGAAAAGGACAGTAAGAAGCTGTTCGAGAATATTCCTCATTAGCTTCCTGATTCTTTAACAAATGACTTAACATGTACATGTGGTGATGGAAAATGTTTATAAATGGTTCGTACTGTACAGCTGCTCCAAGACAATATTGAGTTTAAAATGTAAAGTTATATAAGTCAATAGTATGATATGAGAAAGAACATTAATGCAATATAAATGTTGAATATGAACCATTCACTTATGATATAAAGGAGAGCTGCTTAGTTTTATTTATCTACACTTTGAGTATGGATTAAGTTGAGTGCATGGCGTGTGTGTGTGTGTGTGTGTGTGTGTGTGTGTGTGTGTGTGTGTG